GATGACAAATGAGCCTCTGTACAAGCCACATAAATTCAAGGCTAATTCCTTCATAGGTCTCCTTCTTGACCTTAAAGCCACTTCAAAATAATATAGCAGACAAACTAAATTTGAGGAAGCTCATCTAGGTTGCATCCCTAGTCTGGAATGAAAGTCAAGGCAAAAACTACCACCAATTATTTTGCTGTGTGCTGTTTTTAAATAACCTCTGTCTAAGAGCTCTCTGACTCCATTAATAGAATTTTTTTTTCAAAATTTCATGCGGAGGCAGCATAATTGAATGTAATTGCTTAGAGAATTCTATGCACATTTCCTAAGATTTGTTTGGGCCTTTGGCCTCTTTTCAATATTGTCTCTGTTTGTGAGGCTTGGGTGCTTACTTAAACTCCATTAAGAAAATCCTTACTTCCACAAGAACACACTCTTGCTCTAGTGGAAACTGTGGTCAGCCATCAGTATAGGCTTTTCAAGACAAATGTGTTCAGTCCTCAGCTTCAGGGAGTATTGACTGCTGACCACACACAGATGGGTCCTACTCCAAAAATTGCCTTCTGTGAGAGGGACCTACTTTGCCTAAGGGGATTTTCCTTCCCTGGTAAAAGGCCTCTTCAAATGTGGAAGTAAAAATATGACCCCATTACCTAGTTTTAGGAAACTTCTGAAGGGCCATCCTAGCTCCACAACTCTGTATGAGATAACTTAAGTCTTATTTTACAACTGCATCACAGTTCAATTTCTCCCTCAGCTCAGTCCTGCTTTCCTCTCTCTTTTACTAGTGTTGCTCAAGAGAGCACTCCCCAATAAACATTCTGTAGGAAGATGCCCATCTAAATCTGTTTCCTCAAAAATTGACCTGAGACAGTCATCTACATAAAAACAGTCACTTGATATTAGACAAAGTTATCCTAAGGGGTGACAACCTGTCATAGTAAAAAGCCTTAAATGGCCACTGGATACAGTGTCCTACAATTACCTGTCCAGGCCGTAACAGTAGACAGGTAGCTATAAGCATATAAAAGCCAGTGATGTTAAGTCATGTAGACCACTGCATCCCAACAAGGTCAAAGACTCGTGTATAACAATATAGGATTGCACACTAACGAAGTCAAATACTCAGATTAAGTCATGTAGGACAGAAAGAGAAAGGCCCCCAAGAGGCTTGGAGACCAGCGACAAGGGTAGGTGGAGTGGTTAAATTTCACCTCCTTTGCATCTTGGACTGCTGGTAGGCTCCTGAGTAGTTGGAGAGACATGCCAATACCAGCCCAGAGACAGTTGCCACAAGTGAGTGATGAGCCTCTTGTGGACAGGGCACCAGGCTCTCAGCTCCCTTGGCGTACCTCACAGCCCACAGACTCCAGCCAATCGGCAGGCACCATATTGCTTCATTCTCCTCCTCCCTTTCCCTACCTGCAGCTGCTGAGATAGACAATTTAGCCACCACCTGGAGGCATCTACAGGGAATAGGATCTATACTTCTGGGGCCCTACAGCAGACTGAGGGTCACTCAGACTGTGAGCTCCATACCAGCCAGCTGTCCCAGGTGCTGCTTTCCTGGTGACTCCAGGAGAGCTGGGTAAAACCCAAACTGGAGAGACATCCATCCAGCTTGGGCACCCATGGGTGACTTGAGACAAGCTCTCCTTTCCCTGGCAGGGTCAGGGATTGATCTTCAAGGCCCAGGGGACAGTCCTGGAGACCAGATCCTGTATACCCAGGTCTCAATAGCATTGCCCTGGGGCACAGAAGGATATTTGTGAATGAGCTACTGAGGTGTGTGTGCCTTCAGGGGCAGACAAGCATGCTTGAGGGGCAACCCTTCTCCCAATGGGAGGGCCATGCACCCAGCTCAGTCTGCCATTCTGGGCAGGGACCCTCCCAGCCCGCATCACAGCCAGGGGAGATTCACTGGCTTGAGGTCCTGCCTGCTGGCAGAGACCCGGGAGAAACTGTGGAATAGGGGAGAGTGGAAAGGAGCGAGGCCTGCTCCAGACTGCAGGTCTCAGACAGCCCCACATGCACACACGGACTTTCCAGCCAAGTGGGACTATTCAGCCCCTCCCTGACACGTTTGCCCAGAAACAGAGAAAAGAACTTTGACCCCTGCTAACAGCATTTGTGGTGCTTGACAGCAGGCTCACCCAACACAGCTCCACCCAGACTCACTCTCCCAGCTGACCCTACTGAGGTGGAAAGTAAGGACACATCTGGAAGTCCCAGGGTACCACCCACCACCTGAGACACTAGAGTGCCTCTCCAGAGGAACAAGAGCTGGTTATAGGACCCAAAAACAACACTGCAGCCTACTCCTCTGAGAAAATGCCATCTACTGACAGGGAGGTCATTTGGCACACCCTTTAAGTGCATCTACTGACTCATCATGCA